GGGCTGGTGTCTACGAGGTTTCTATATCGCATCTGCAGAATAGGGTTGGACACTCCCTACTCTTACATTCGATTCGAGCCGTTGAATGCTCAGACAACCTCGAGGATGCTTTGCTATACCTGTGTAGCTTTCGCTGGGCAGAAAACAGACTGTAGCGCAGTAGAAGAACCGTGTTACTGATCATGGAACAAGTCAGAAAGCTTCTGTCCTGGAACGCAGTCGACTTCCAACCTCCCGGAGTCCGGTCGAATGTTCTGTTCAAAGTGGGGAAGACTATTGTCGGTCTTTCTTACAGCTATCATATCTCAGTGGAAGGACCAGAGCGAGACCGCCAGTACTGTTCCCTGTCTCTTACTTGCTACGGCAAGAATCATCCAACCCCCCTTCATGTGATTAGTTTTCACGCATGTTCACCGGCATTGAAGAAGTTGGGTTTCGTCTCCAATCGACGCGGTTACTGGGCTGTGACGGTTGCTTTCAGCTTTGTACTGCGTCGGGTGACATCGAACCAGAATGACCAGTTCGTCCGATTAGAAGTCTGACGCTACTGCCAGTCCGTACTTATGACTAGCTCCTCCTGAGAGCGCCATATATCTCTTGCTCTGAATCGGTAGATCAAGGGGCCGGTGCCTCTTATCATTAGGCCAGATGCGATTGGCAAGTCCTGAATCACAGGGTTCACCAAATGAATTACAATCGGTCGCCAGGTGGCTGCCGTATTGCTCAGTCAGACAATGACTTTAGAAGGTCAGAGGCTTGGCCTCTTACACAACACCAATGACTTGCATGTGAATTAGTTTAGAGTGGGGCAGACTTGCGAAGCATCCGCCGCACTCTCAAGACAATCTCGGGACGACCGAAGATGGGCTCGAGCGCAGTAACCGACAAGGTTAAACAGTCCGTCTACCTGTGCTATAGACGACCTAGTGCCCCGCCCAATTCAAAATGTTTTCACAAAGTCGGGTGTGGTTCAGACCTTACATTCGTGGGAGTTCCATAGATGTCACAGCAAGAAAGAATTGATACGGCAGCCATCAAAGCCAGCCTGGCGTCATTGCTCAGGGCCTCGCTTCCTCAAGGCATGCAGTGATTCGTTCCGGACAGCCACTCGACCGAGTTCAGGTCGGACACACCAGCGTCCGCACAGGGTCGCGACCGCCCATGCGGCCACTTGGACGCACCTCCCCCCTACAACCAGCAACAGAAGCCACTGGAATACCACCCTTCGGCAAATGCAACACGCACACACTGACTGGAGACCACTTGTGCTTGTCTCACGAGCCTACGAAAGCGGTTGCCACCATCGTCACAGGGACTCTCAGGCGTGACTGGACGCAGTCAACACCAGCCCTGGCTTCGCCAGAGGTCACTGCTGCGGGTTCTGTTTACAATAAACCCCTCATTCCGGTGCCTTCTGTCTTTTCCTCTAACGTGGGATTTGGTCTGATGATTGTAGCGTCTAAAATGCAGACTCTCACCGCTTAACCACTGCAGAACCATTGAGTTTGACCTCCAGTCCTAGAGCTGAACGACTATACCTTCAGAACCTCTTCACAGTTAATGGTTATACCAGTCACTTTATCGAAAAATACCGGCGTCGAAAGCACAGACGACGGCCAAAGGAACAGTAACACGAAGTCTGGAGGTCCATTCCCTGCAGTAAAGGGGTCTCCGAGGCGATTTCTTGATTGTTACAACCCACCAGAGTAGGCCTAACCCATCGACCCTGGGTAACAATTAGGCGCTGTTTGATGCAACCTAAGGACGCGCTGTCACCAACTGAAACCTCAGCAGTTGTCTACAAAACAAGTGACAGTGATGCGGACTGCAACCGCGTTGGGGAAACCGGGCGGAAATAGCAGACTCGCCTACGTGAACACAAATCGGCAACCTGGGGGGCTAGACTTAAGCTTTCAACTTGAAGAAACTGGCCCAGATTTTCGATCCTCAGGGAGTTATCATCTTGGGCTGGGGTAACTCAAAGGCAGAACGGCTAACACTTGAGGCGTGGTACTTAGATGTCAACTCCACCAAATAAAAATCTGGACATTCCTGCAGCTGACAAAGTCCTGCGTCACTGCATTCATAAAATGCAGGACCAGACGACGACACAGAATTTAAGAAGGCCATGCCGAGTGCACGAAGGCGAGTTCACTTGACGAGGCGGGAAATGAGCCGCCAGACCGACTAACCCTGACAGAATCACCTCACCCCCGACGATGTGCTGACTCACAACGCACGCAGCTGAAAAGCCGGCCGAACATCCCCACCCCCAGGAGGCCGGGGCCATGAGAGAAGGGAAAAATCGATTAGCATGAGGCCGACCAACGGTGACAGTTTACGCGGCCAACCAGGCTTTCTGAAACGCCGGGGTTCTAGTAAACCTGTTCCGGCGAGACCGTCTTATTTGTCAAATTATCCACGCGGGTAACTCAACTGTGTCAACCGGATCAGTGTTGACCACAATGACCCAGAGGTATCCAGTTGGCGATAGGATGTAGAACCCACAACTAGCTTGGGCTAGTCTGTAGACCGTGTCGTACGTTGAATTGTGGTAGGGGGTGGGGGGGGGGAGGGGGGGTTCACGGGTGGGGCAACACGTAGGACGGAGAGCAAGAGGACCTAGAAAATAGATAAATTTTTACCGAAAGTCTTGTCGTACGCTGTCATTTGGCAGAGAAGATGAGCGTGGTAGTTAAAAAAAATAAACAAAAAGCAATGATCAAAAAATAACGGCTTTTGAATAAATCACTGCTGGTAAGTTTATATTTAGTCGGAAGGGGAAGGGAATTTCAAACAATGTGATTGGTGAATAATAAGTGATGTTTACAGTCAAATCGAACCTTAGGGTGTGCCGCAAAGATTGTGGTGGACCAAAGACCAGTGTTCAGGAAAGCAACAAATATGATCCAACAGTAACCACCCAATCAGCCACAAACGCAGTTGTGTAAGGACGTTCTATCGGCGTGTCGAAAGGCACTGCAGTGAAACGGAAAACAAGATTGCCTAACTACAATACTTCCGACGGGTCTTCAAAGCCAATGGCTACCCGCGCAACTTCGTCAACCGGTGCATACGCAAAAGGGACTAAAGGCCTAACCGCAGGAACACCTAATTTTGGCGGGTGTTTTGAAGCAGGTTCGTGTGTGGCGTATGGTCTGGTGAGGCGTGGTGTATTCAAAAAACAATTTCCGTGGTTTTTAACCGCGGATCTGCATGAAAGCGCGTATGTCCGAATAGGACCATGCGGCGATGACAGATGAAGTGGATGCGACTCCGGACACTGGTACGCCAATCTCACTGCGATGGATTCACAAGAGCCCGACCAAGCCGATGCGTGATGCAAATGTGCGACGGAAGCAAGAAGGACGCGGGATTGTGGCTAGTGAGCTAATGTTATGCGATGCTACTAGCGCTGTCGGCGCCGGTGGTGACGGAGTTTTGGTGCTGGTGATAGAGGAGTTATCAGGTTAAGGTGGTAAGTTTGTCGTGATAACAACGCGGAGAATTCCGTTGCCATGGTTACAGACATGATCAGTCAAAGCACTGCGGTTTCCGAATGTTTTAGAGCATCGAAAGCAGATGGGACGTGAGTGATGGGTTTGAGTTGGGTCTACGAGTACTGGTTCGCCGGCAGTGTATGATTGATTCGCAAATGACCGATCATGCCCGTGCGCGATGGGAAAGTGTGACTGAGACGCTAATGGGTTAGAAGTAAGTCCCCACCGTTAGTGGTAGGAGTAGTGGCGGTAATAGTTAGTAGCTCGGTGGGACTGCCTTAAGTGATAATGTTTGCGGTGACGGCAGTGATGTTGGATTGTGAGATGAGGGGGGGGGAGGTTGGGTCTTCAGATTAGGTTGATCCATCCCCGTTACGTCCGTTGTCTGCGCGGACACCGTGGGAAGGTTTGAGTACTGAAATCAATGCTCAGTACCACTTTGGTCTTGAAAGTTTCTCTTTGCCTTGATAGCGACTATTCGGTTGGCTCCGAAAATGACTGCTCCGGTATCTACGGTATTGCGTCATGCCGGTAGATCTTGAACGAGATCCTCCCAGGTGTCCAGGTTGATTTTTCAGATGTTTGACGGAGACCTTCAGAGTGTCCTTGTAGAAACACCCCCGTTCGCGTTGTCCGCGACCACTCGCAGCTACGTCGCCGTATAACAGGGGCTTAGGCAGAGGCTCCTCGTCCATCGTCAGAGAGTGGCCGTTCCATCGCAGTTGTATCTGCTTCAAAATGGCATGGATACTGAGGACGCCGGTTATTCTCAGCATCTCAGTGTACGGAACCCTTCCCGCCACTTCACCTTCAGTATTCTCCGGTGGCATCTGAGGTGGAAATGATTGAGTTTTGTTGATTGACCTTCATAAAGAGTTCGGGTCTCCGCTTCGCATAAAACCATTGTCAGGACAACAGCCGTGAAAGTCCTTATTTTTGTGTTGAATAGGATGCCGCGACGGTCCTGAATTAAGTACTTTCGTCGGTTGAAAGTTTGGCTAGCTTTAGGGATCCTAATTGCAATTACATCGTCTATCTTGATGTTTCTTGAAATCCTACTTCCAATATACTCGGGTTTCTCCACCGCTGCGAGATGAGCCCGACTATCCTTGACACGGGGCTCGGTATAGTCAGAATTTGGTGCCGGCTGGTACATGACCACTGTCCTCACCGTGCTAATAGAAAGGGTTCTTGGACGGTCGGATTATTCCCAGGTGCAGCATGTGTTCAAACTCCGCCTTCGCGGCCTGGAAACGCTCCGATGCTAGTCGTCTCGGCCGAGCAAACACGGGAGGACCTGAGGTGCGGATATGGCGCACAACATCATGTTGGACCTCACCACTGCGAAACTGGGGGTTGATTATATTGGGGTGTCTAAGAAACAGTTCCCGAAAGGGGGCTAACAATATCTGTATCCGAGACAGATAAGTTAGTGGGTGCAGTAAAGGGAGTTAGTCCCCGAACAGACAGACCGGCTGTGCGCTCGAGGAGACGGGCACGTCAGCAGTCAACAAGGAGATCGAACTCAGCAAGAAAGTCCGAGCCTAGGACTGCATGAGGGACATCAGCAGTCACAAAGATCCGGGTGAACGACCGAGGAAGGGTGAGGGACAGACTGCCAAAAGTAGGAATGGGGGAATAGTTGGCAGCTTGGAGGTGAAGACCGGGTCTAGAGAAACGACGATCAGCTGCAGTTGGGGGAACAGCGCTGATTTGGGCTCCAGTGTCCACCAGGAAACGTCTGCGAGTCGCAGTGTCGCAAACATAGAAGGTGCGAACAGGGCTGGAAGAGCCAGAGAAAACGGTCGCGTCTATTCTCTGGCCGACTGGTTTCCCTGTTTCGGCTTAAAAGAGCATGGTGAAGAACAGCGACGGGCCTTTACGCCGAAATTAGTGTGATACCAGCAAGTATCAGCAGTCCGAGGTCGCAAACGAGAACGGCGACGGCTGCGTGAGCGACTGGAAGCAAGGCGAGTGAGGGCTATTTTAAGGGAGGCCAGCTCATCCGCCATGGCCGACTCCTGTTTCATTAAATGTTCATTCACTGTCGATGAGGATGTTGAGATCTGGGCAATGGAAGACGACTCGAACTGCTGTACCTCTATCATTCGATCCGCCATCTCAGCCAGCTGTGAGACCGTGAGATCTTGAGAACCGGACGCCAGGATCGGTTGAAAATCTGCAGGCAGACGCTCTAGAAACATCTCCTTGACAAATTTATCGTCCACCTGTATGTCTCCAAGGAGAGAACGCATTCGACGTAGAAGTTCTGAGGGCTTCCGGTCATCCAGTGACTCCTCCTTAAGTAACTGGTGATACCGCTGTCCGTCGGACACAGAATTAAGTCGAAGAATTTCTGCTTTCAACGTGAAATATGGAGCATCGGCAGAAGGATTAGATAGTTAGGACTGAACTAGCAAGGAGAACCTCCACAAGTTTGTGGTATTTCGCCAGCTCCTTGGTAACGTTGGTAGAATAAAAGGCTGATTCAGCGCGGATGAAATAAAGCTCTGGAGCGTGTTGCCAGAATTCGGGCTAAGTAAAATTGACGACATGAAGGGAACGGGCGGTGGCATCAAGTTGTTGGTTGGGATGAGACATAATTATCAAGTCAGAGATGGTAAAATATCGAGAAAATTCGTGAGAAAAGTAGACGTAAATGGAATAGAAATCCACAAGCAAATAGTACGTCAGATATTATTCAAAATGACATAGAAAGTATAAAGTCTGCGTTAAGGTCGGGAGTCACCAATGACGCAAATGGCAATGTTCTCACGAACTAACGAGTCAGCAAGTAAAATCGACCAGTGAATAGTACAGAACTTCTGAACGTTAAGTGACCTGACAACAGCGCGCGACAGCTAAGAAGGCCAGCGAAGCGGGTTGCACAGGCGCGTCGTTTTTCGTCACAGTCAAACAAGCAATCCGGACAAAGAAAACGGGCCTAAAATGTTAAAGGTAAACTAGTCCGGTACCTCACCACGGATACATGACCACTGACCTCACCGTGCTACTAGTAAGAGGGAATTTAGAGCAGCCGGAGACAGAGAGTTCAATACTCCCATACATTTCCACTTCCCCTGCCATGTTTAATGCGCAGTCATCCGTGAGCAGTGCGTTGCGAAGGTTGCCTTTTGATCCCCTCGAATAGTCGTTTCCAGCTATTGCGGCAGTATTCTTAGTCAAGCAGTGGCTGGGGCATATTCTTTCTTGAATAGGGTTGTTGAGCTACCTAGATTGCTGTCAAATTTTACTCACGTAGCCAGGAAAAAGATTAATCCGGATCGCCTATAGGTGGCTGCGTAAACCCATCTATTCCCTCGCATAGAGACTGACGAATCGGTGCCAGGAGGACCAACATCCACCTGGACTATAACCTCACCTCCGCTAAATGCATACTTACCTAGCTGCTACTTACTTTCCTTGAGTCGAAGTCTCCATTCGGTAATCGACCGCGCAAATGACACTTTCGAAAGTATGTCTACCATGGTTATTTCCTTGAATTATATTGAATCGACCAAAGTTTGGTTAACAACTCCGAAAATGCTACATTTGAAAGTATGCCCACCCTAATTGTCAGCGTAGGTCACAGAAGAAAAGCCGTGGTACCTTTTCACAGTTATATGATGGAGGTTTTGTTCTACTGATATGATTGCAAATTTACTCAAAGCGAAACATACGGGGAAGGCTCACTACTTAAACTATTCGGGGCTTCGTGGGAGATGCAGTTTAGAGATGTTCGTATGAATATGAGATGATATTATTGGGGGGTTGGTTGTGCTGGTATCGTTTTCGTGGACATTAAATATGAACATCTTTAAACGATGATATGGGCGCGGTGTTGGGGGCTGCCGCGTTCACGGGATACCATGCCGTCGTGTGAGTTGCTTTCAGGGGGGGGGGTTGATGGTTATATTTCGGTTTAAATCAGAAACTAACGAAAGACCAAGCGAACACTTAATCATTACGACAACGAGGTTCCGGTAGGAAGGATTTATGTGGTTCACAACTTACGATTTGTGGTTTGAACTTACGATTTCAAAATAAAGCAAATTCTTCTCCCTCTCTCGTTTCTCGTAAGGACAACGTAGTAGGAAACCCTGGACATTATGTATGAACAGCTTTAAAGGATGATGTAGGCGCGGTGTTGGGGGCTGTTGCGTTCACGAGATACAATGCTGTCCGCGGGTTTCTTTCAGGGTGGTTGGCTGGTTATATTTCAGTCTAACTCAGATACTTACGAAAGATCAAGCGTATACTTAATAATTCCGATAATGGGGTACCGGCAGGAAGAATGTGTGTGCTGCCCCGTAAGGACATGGTAGTAGGAACCCTCTCCGTTATACAGGTAGCTTTGTGCTAAAGTCTAGGAAAAGATGAGTTAGGGTTAGGGTAAATTTACGGTTAAAGTTGGTGTTGAGGTTGAAATTTCGGTTAGGTTAGTTTAAGGGTTAAGGAACAGAAGTAGTTATCTTCATGGAAGGTAGCGCAAAGCCACCTGTATTACGGGGGACGACCCCATTCCCGTGTTCTACTGGGGAGACGGGGACATCCAAATGATCCATATCAGGCGCTTTCTACTACAATAGTAGGGGGCGCTCACCGATCGTTCCTACGGAACTCACTCGTTCCCTTGTGCCTTATGGACTCTCTATTGAGCCCAACTAGCAGCCGCACAGCGGCGTATGATATAGGCAGAATGCTATTACCGACAAAGACAATGGAGACTGGAATGGCCATTTCTGGCGTGAACTTCTGACAAACAGGTCGCGAGTTCGAGCCTCGGATGTGCCACACTTCGGGGTTGGGTATGACTGGCTGAAGACGGCTAATAAGCCAGAAATGGCCATTCCAGTCTACCTTTTCTTTGTCGGTAATGCCATTCTGTTTATATCATGCGCCGCTGTGCGGCTGCTGGTTGGGTTCAAGAGAGAGTCCATTGAGCACAAGGGAACGAGTGAGTTTTGTAAGCACGAATGGTGAGCGCTTCCTAACATTGTATATTCCCGATCTAAAACCGACAGGGCAACGAGCTCGTGGCTCAGTGCTTAGAGGCGTGGACGTCTAATAAACAGGTCGCGAGTTCGAGCCTCGGGTGTACCACACTTTGGGGTTGAGTATGACTGGCTGACGACGACTAATAAGCCAGAAATTGCCATTCCAGTCTCCCTTGTCTTTGACGGTAATATTATTCTGCTTTCTACTACCTACAGTAGGAAGACGTCATAGAAAGCGGGCTAGTTGAGACAGAGGACCGTGACACACTGACGCCCAGTGCCTCTTGCCGCCTGATAGAAACTTGGGTAGCTCCAGCGCCACGCTGGTCGATATTAAAAACATATAAAGCTGTTTGAAGGAGGGTCCCGTCATTCAACACTTAACAAAGACACGCATTGGAGAACAGACTCAGGAGACCGACCAGCTGGTCCCAGATGCAGTCAGCTCCGATCTCCAGCGCGGTCTTAATCATGCGGATGGAGATCCAGGGCAGCGTGGACATTTTTTATATTCCCCCTATAGGGTGGGGATGCTTTCGGGAGGACAGGGAGCGCCGTTCAGTTTACCTGTGGTTAAGACAACCCTGCCCGCCCTCCCCCTCACCCGACCCAGCTGCATCTCCGCCCGGCAGCTGAATGTTTGCGCCGTGAAGAGCTGAAGGAGGGGGGGAGGGGGTGGGGCTGTAAAAAGTACCACACTTGTCAACTGCTTTCATTAAACCGAACGCGGCTACGTTAATGTCACCTGGGTAGCGGCGTGCCTCGCGGGAAGCCATAACTACGGCAGCATCAACAACAGCGCAGGCGGCGGCAAATGGAGGTCTGTTTCTGCGCCGCGGCTACCAGCATGCGTGAACGTGGAACACGGAAGGTCACGCGCACCCAAGGGGAGACGACGGAGAGAGAGGAGCAGTAAGTTGTTGTTTTCACTCTTTGTCTTGCGCTGTGAGATGGGGGTTGGATGTGTACGCCATGCCCCCCTCCCACCGCCCGGTTTGGGTGGCTCCATTCGAGGCTCCTGTTGACCGAGGCTACCGTGGGGAGGGACGTGCGCTGACTGAGAATGCTCTAAATGCGAATACAGGTCGCAGGTTGGGTGTCATAGACCAAACAATAAATGTGGGCAACTCTTCGTGATACTGGGTCTTCGCTGCACGAAGGATTGAGATTATGTACCTGAGTCGGTAAAATCCCTTTTCCAAGGAGTTTGAATTCATCTAACATGTTTCAGCTTTTTTTAGCGGTTGACGCCCTGTACCAAACGGCTTGTAATTCGGGTTGTTCCGAGGAATCTATTAGTCTCACTAAGTGTAAATTAACCTTACAGACTCATCTCAACAATTACTTTCGACTGAAGTCGCTTTTTTAACACATATGACGCCTTCACAAGCAGATTCAGCAAGAACAGGTGTATCTGACTCTCTGATGATACGTTCTGTAAAGTATGTGGTTCAGTCTAACAAGCCCGAGGAGATTACTTCTTTAATTCTTTCGAAAATCCCTCCCTGTACATTCGTTACAGCTTTCCGGCTGGCCCACAAAATGCTTGCGGTGCAACAGTCAAGTCTGACTTTCAGCAGAGGCGCAACCAATCAGTCTGTCTAAAGCCCCGGAAGAGAAATCAGGGATTCAGTAGTAAGGGTTCAGTCGGTGTACCTCGAAACATCCGAAGACCCCCATGATTGTGCCCCTGAATGGTTCTTAAAACAACGACTCTGACCCTTTGAGCCACCATCGCAACCGAAAGGTCATCCAACTTAAGAATTTATTCAACGCATCAGCAGCCGCCTACGTAAAAAGTTCCCTTTTCCTTCGCTAAATTCAAAAAAATGTTATCCACATCTGCAGTAGATGAAGTATCTGATGAAATGCTAACCTAATTGTGAAATGAAATTTCGATTGCAAAAGATTATTTAAGTGGGGTTGTAATGCCAGTACAATGCAACATGATCCCAAAATATTTCAATAACGCCAGGATATTGGCTTTTAAATTCCCTTCCCTTCGGCAATCTGCTAAATCTGAACTTGGTAAAAAATGACAACTCGAGTAGTATGCTGTTTCCGATTGATTTCCAACGTCCTTAAAAATTCAAATATGTTTCATAAAAAAACATGCACAGAAATATTCTTTTCTGGACTCAGTTGATAGCAAATCACATCGTCTGCAGTTTCCATACTTGAAGAAAAGGTAGTTAATACATTTGCGTTTGCCAATAGAAGCGAAGAGACGAGTCCCAGGAAGTAGTCTTGAAAAAGGAGACACGATCGCCGGGACAAGAGCCTTATTAGCCTGACGTTTCGGATTCCTACTCGAATCCATCATCAGAGACAGAAAAGCAGAAACGGGTGGTTGCTGCACAAGGGGCTGCGGTATTTATAGGATGCAGTAGCCATGCTACCGCATACCTATGAACATTCACGGCTCCCTCCCTTCATCCGGGATCGTCACACTTGGTGTGATCATTGCTTGATGGCCGACATTCGAGTCGATAATTGCTTCAATTTCATCACGGGTGTTGGATGTTGGCGTGATGATTGCTAGACCATCTGACGCACCGACCCCGGTGTTGGGAATGGTGTTCACCTCGTCGCTCCCCGCATGGCTTGTTACTCCGCCTAGGCGAAGTTTCAGCACGGAGTATGGAGTTGGAAGATCGTTGCAATTGTTGATGGACTGGGGGTCAGTAAACCATGATTCCAGTAGCTCCCGGCTCACGCGGTTGTCACCTCTTGCGAGAATTTCGGCCTCATCGAATTTGAATGTGTGGCCGGATCTCGTCAAATGAGCCGCAACTTGTGAGCTGGCGTCATTTCTGCGCACCGCTGCCGCGTGTTCGCGTCGGAGAAACCGGAAGACAGCTCCGACGAGATCCGGCCACACATTCAAATTCGATGAGGCCGAATTTCTCGCAAGAGGTGACAACCGCGTGAGCCGGGAGCTACTGGAATCATGGTTTACGGACCCTCAGTCCATCAACAAGTGCAACGATCTTCCAACTCCATACTTCATGCTGAAACTTCGCCTAGGCGGAGTAACAAGCCATGCGGGGAGCGACGAGGTAAACACCATTCCCAACACCGGGGTCGGTGCGTCAGATGGTCGAGCAATCAACACGCCAACATCCAACACCCGTGATGAAATTGCAGCCATTGACGACTCGAATGTCGGCCATCAGGCAATGTTCACACGAAGTGCGACGATCCCGGATGAATGTTCATAGGTATGCGGTAGCATGGCTACTGCATCCTATAAATACCGCAGCCCCTTGTGCAGCAACCACCCGTTTCCGCCTTTTTTGTCTCTGATGATGTATTCGAGGAGGAATCCGAAACGTCAGGCTAATAAAGCTCTTGTCCCGGCGATCGTGTCTCCTTTTTCAAGACTACTTCCTGGGACCCGTCTCTTCGCTTCACTGTCTCGTGCCCATCCCACTGTACGACACACGGCGGGCATCATCGTTTACGACAGTAAGGCTGACGTATTCTCGTAAGCATTCCACCACGCAGAACCCCTTTCCCACCCTTTTCGGTGATCCGGCGGAAACCCTGTGAATATTGGCAACAGGGCCCTGCCGATGTTCTGCGACAAGACGCAGCCGGTAAGCGCCGTCCGCAGCCTCTGTAATCATTGCTAGACAGAACGTGGTCCTATCGGTCCACATGCTAGTCTCTGCATCTGGTAAGAAACTATATAAATGTTTACTTACCGATGGATTTTCTACTTAAACATCCAAATAAGCAGTAACCACTTTTTCTCAAGATGACTGGAGTGGATGAGATCTTTCTGAAATTCTTTCTGAGGAAGTCAATTTAATTTATGCCACCAATATGCATGCATTGGAAGATTCCCAATGAGACGGCAGTCATGCGCAATCATGTCTGGTTTCTTAAGTACACAAGCCGATATAGGGGAACATTTATCAGTCAAACATACAAGTGGCTGCAGCAATTGATGTCAAATCAATTTCCGCGCGGGTGTGTCCACGTGGGTTATTTGAATGTGACTTTTATGGCGATAAATATGAGACGTAAATATAAACTATTTCATTTAGTTGAGTACCTGTCTTGTCACGCCGGAAAAATAACCGTTTGATTGATGTGGATTTCTCTTGACACTTTTCTTTAAGTAGGTAAATCCTACCACCAGATGCGGGACCCAAATTTATTCCTTGTACTCATCTTGAAACAGATTAAGCCTACTTGAGGCAGCTTGCGCCTAGTTAATGTGTTCTATCTGAAGGAAAGGGTATATAAGTTTTTAAAATATTCAGCGAATTTTGGGCATTTCAGGTACAACCAGCCGTTTATGCGTCGTTGGGTTTTCTAATTACCTACTGCGCACCGAATGGAGCAGTGTATATAAGGACAGGTACTTATTTTGAGGCAGCTTGCGCCTAGTTAATGCGTTCTATTTGAAGGAAATGGTGCATAGTTTTTAAAATATTAAGATAATTGTGGGCATTTGAGGTACAACCAGACGTTCTGATTACCTACTGCGCATCGAATGGAGCAGTGTATATAAAGACAACCTAGATTACCTGTAGCCAACCTACAGGGTATTATAGTTCTTGTTTCAAACTCCTATAAAATCGAAATATACCCGCCCAAACAGGACAGAGTTTAAGGGAAAAGCAAGTTCTATCAGTATGCGGTATGCTGTGGGAATTACACATTTTTCCGGAAAATATTTAACTACAAGGTCGCATGCTCGTTCTCTTTTTTTTAACGCAAACCTACGTCTAAATATAACTTCCACAGACTTTTCTGTCGGCAGGCACACTTACAGGTTTTTGGTCCAACAGTCAGGAGTTCCTACTCATATTGCACGCTTCCTTACTCAGTCACGCAGGCAAAGGTCTGGAGTTTGGGCATCTTGCGCAATTACCTAAATATGAAATGAAGGAGAACGAAGAACAACAGACAGGAGGAGGAGCAGGCTAATGAGGAGAAGTAGAAGGATGAAAAGGAGGAGGAGAAGGACGATAAAGGACAAGAGGAAAAGAGGAAAAATGTAAAGAGGAACACGAGAGAGAGAGAGAGAGAGAGAGAGAGAGAGAGGAGAAAAAGCAGGAGAGTGGGAGGCAGTTGGAGGCTAGGACGATGAAACAAGAGGGGAAGTAGGATCAGGAGAAGCCGAAGAAATGGGAAAAAGATCCTATTGCGTAGTCGTACCTGTTATGGGTTAGGGGTTTGGGATTGGGGTTATGAGTTGACGGTAAAGCGTGAGCTTGTCTACTGCAGGTACGGTTACGAAGTAAGATCCAACCGAGATGGCAGTAAGGGAAGCGCGAGGAGAAAGATCAGAAGTAGGTAAGTAGAATCGGAAGAAGAGGAAGAACGAGAGGAGAAGGTGGGTCAGAAGGAGAAGGAGCGGGGATAGTAGAGAGATCAGGCAGAGGAGGATGATGCAAAGAAGAGGCGAGGATATCTTCCAATGGTATGGCTACGAAGTGTTGATGTAACTGTGAGAAAGTTCCAAGAGTAAGATGTAGTTATGTAGCCGCACCTGATGGATGTAATACTGCTGACCTACTAGATTATTTGGAGTTGGTGTGATTACTTTGGCATGTTATTGCTGTGCGTCGCGATGTGTGTTCTGTTGGCGGGGTTGTTTCTTTGTTGCCGTGTCTACCGTTTTCGGCCAAATGCCGGTGTTCCTTCTTGATCTTCGGCCTGTCGTCCCCTTCTAACTTTTGCGTTGGATGTTTCGGGGTTAGGATTAAAGGTTTCGGGTTAGGCTTAGGGGCGTAGAGTTTAGGGTTGGGATGAAGGATTAGGTTTAGGAGTTTAGGGCTGGGGTTATGGTTAGGGGTTAGGGCAACAATTTTTAGCCACTCAAATTACAACCGCGCATTCCTAGTGGCCTTTCTGTTGCATACAATTACTTGACTTCCTCGCCTGTGCGTTCCTCGGTCCCCGGTTTTGTTTACCTTGGGTGCGTCTACATAGCCACATCTGACCGTTCCAATTTTAAAAGTTAAGGATCGCTTATGTAGTTCCTGCCCTGGCATGACATGGGGGGAGTAACATCCGGTGGCCTAGACACTCTGCAGGCAAGAATATGGTTTATGGCCGGGGTTGCTTACTCCGGGAGGCAATTTTGCTAAAAGAAAATAACTGGCGATAGTTACTTGTACGTGCTAGAGAATGAAATAAAAAGACCTCATGGTAGCTGTTGCGTGGGGGCGGTCAAGATGTCCTATGAGGTAGTCATCGAAATAAAAATGCGACATTGCAGTACCCTTTTGACAGTGTCTGCAAGGGCGCATTAAATTCACTTACTTCTATCATTACATGGTAAAAATAGTGCCGCCTTTCAAGTGGTTACAATAGGAAGGATCAGAATTTGTAGTACCACAGAGATGTTCAGCTCGTTTGCCCAACACAAATGCACCCCGGATTAAGTAACCCCGGCCATAAACCATACGCTTGCCTGCCTGCATAATGCGGTCCCCTCGCCGAGCCTAGGACCAACAACTGATCGATGATGGGGCGACGCTAGTTGTGGCTTCTGGTTAATCCGGACCTCGGGAACTAGCCATGCATGTGACTGCAACATGATGTCATCCGGCATTACAGGTGGCTTTGCGCTAAGTTCCAGGGAAATTGGGATTAAGATTAAGGTCAGGGTGGTGGTTATACTTAAGCAGCACCGGAACTTATCGAAAGGCCACCTGTGTCAAGCGGAGGAGGTATTCCTATTCACGTATCCTATTGGGGAATGCTTAAGAGTTCTCGCCGCTTAACCTATTACGTTTTTTCGCTCCAAACTGTGTTAGATGTTTGTGTAACTCATTGTCACCCGAACAAGTTGGTGCGGTATGAGCACATCAAAGTGTAATGCTCCGATGACAGCCTAACAAATCGGCAAAGTTCGATGGCCATTAGTGCAAGGCAAGGCCAAACCCCTATGGTTGGGTAGCTGTCCCAAGCCGGCTGAGGTGGGGTGTAGGGAGTGGAAGTGAGGCGTACAGCAGGCAAAGAAAGCAAACGACAAGCGGCCTTAGAAGACCGCACAGGAAGCCAGCAACCGGGTTTAACGTCTGTACGGGTAAGCCACGAAGGGCTAGTGCAGCCCCTGATACATGTAGAAAGGACAGGTGCACTGACGGGGCAGACCTGCACCGATTAAGTGCACCCAAAGCCTACGCGCCTAGCCAACTCACGCGGTAGCCGCATGGAACGCGATATGGGAGGTCGCCTCCCCCTGCGATCAAATACAACCGGGCCGTTTCGTAAAGGCGGGGGGGGGGGGGTGGAGGGTAGCAGTCTGTTAATACGACTGAAGCAGCTTGCAATTAGAAGCATAATGGAAAGCGTGTTGAATCGCAATCCGCAAAGGGTAAGTCTTTCGCCTTCTACTAAAGAGTTCCGTGTGGGGGGTGCAATGCAATGAGCCCATCTAGACAGTCTTGCATCGCCTCGTTCTCGGGGCGGTTAAGGTGAAGGAGAAAGTCATCCTGACAGAGCCTCTACGACAAATCAAACAAACATAGCTGGAGTACCAAGTCGTAGTAATGTAGCAAGCGCGCTAAGTGGCCGATGAGCGGAAATGTGAATGTGAGCAATAACATGAGGGACTTTACAGCGTAACTGCCCTTCCTTCGCCCAATTGGCAGCTGTAAGTATATGTGGGAGGTATGGTAATGGCAACACTGCAGCAGGCAAGGTATCCCAAAGCGAGGTCGAATACATTACACCCCCGCGCGGCCGACACGCCTGAAATATGTAACCTAATAAAATCATGCCTACTGATAGGAAGCAAGTACGTCAACAATGTTGACTCATAATCCCAGGCTACTCGCATTTGTCTCGCCCAATATTCATTACCAAGCGGCATAATCCTATAATATTTCGGACTCGTCTGGATGTCGGCTTTTGAATGCACTTCTTTGTAACCTCCTACAGTAACAGCACTTGGTAAGAAACGACTACTTAAGTGGCAGAAATTTTTAACATTGATTTTTGATGGTCTTATAAACATCTATATATATTTTATAGGAAGCATGCATAAAAATATGCCTTCTTTTGGTCGTTCGTTAGAAAATCACAATACATTTACATTTTATACTTGAAAAAGTGGTATAATCAGGTTTTGAAAAAGTTTCTAATTATGAGATTTTTAAGACCATGCAATGTCCATTCACACAGCATCGTACATGTCCGTTTGCCAATGCTTCTCATGAAAAGTAGAACACGGCCCGCATCCATTGCAATATTTTGTGAACTCACATGGTATCTTTTAAAAGGCATAGAGGAATATATGATTTTCCCTACGCCGAAAGCATGCACCCTGTAGACTGAAATCGCTAAAAGCTAATGCAACGGCTGATCAGACTCAAAATGATTCGGGCATTGAGAAACTTTATGAAAACCTAATTATACCCCTCCTTCAAGTATAACATGCAAAGGTAACGTGATTTTCTACCGAACGATCAAAAGATAGCATGTTTTTATGCATGTTTCCTATAAAATATTTTTTGAAATTATAAGACCATCAAAAATCAATGTTAAAATGTATGCTACGTAAGTAGTAATTTCGTACCCAGTGCCGTTTCCGTAGGAGGTGAAAAGAAATGCATTCAAAATCCGACATCCTGACGAGTCCGAAACATTATAGGATTATGCCGTTTGATAATCAGTATTGTACCGTTACCTAAGTAATTCTTCCTAATCGCAAAGGAATTTCCGAATTCCGGTCAGCATTTCATGAGATCGATCATTTACTGTAGATAGGTACTCCGTACATTTAGGCTGTATTCGCATCTTCTCAAAAGTGATAAAAGTAGGCAAGTATTGTTTGATTCATTTAGGAGAGATGAACCACGGTAACAGTTTACTTAGGATAAAATAGCGTCACGCGGACGGTTACCATCCCTGCCACGCGGACAGTTTGTTTTTCCGCCAATTGACGTATCTCACCGGACATTAGCTGAAATTTTGAAATGTGACCTCAATTAGAAGAGGTTGCTCAACACGGGTTGCAGTATTTATCATTACGCAGCATAATTCGACCAGCTGCAAAACCCACATTCGCCAAAAACGACTGCCTTGGTAGTATACATTTTCCTCCTGAGTTGCGATATATTTATAAATCCAAACCTATTGCCTAGAAGTCTCTGTAGATCTCATGATCGGCAGAAAGGCATCGCTTGAATACCCATGCAGTTAATATTATCCTTTTGGCGTCAGACATTAAATTCTGTAGTCTGAATGACACGTCATTACATTTAGCATACGGAATTAGCCCTGGTCGAATTTTATTTTGCTGTCGTACCTGCAGAAGACAAACGCCAGTCTAACCCCCTACCCCCTAACCTTAACCCCTAACCTTAACCCCTAACGTCTAACCCTAACCCCTATCCCCGACCTCCTAACTCTAACACCTAGCCCCAGATCCTTAACCTTAACCCCTAACCCTGACCCCTGACCCCAACCCCGACCCCTAAACTTAACCCTAACCCCTTACCTCAACCACTGACCCCTAACCCTAACCTTAACCCCTTACTCGGAACACCAAACCCTACCCTTGACACCTGACCCCTGACCTCTAACCCCAACCCTGCGTTTTTCTCGTGGCGATTTTTATCTTACATGGAATGGAGGCTCGAGCCTGGTGCCTCTACAAATGCTTACAACTATCTAACATATCTCCACTGCAAAAATTCAAGACTTCAAAATCTGCAAACGTACGCTTACAACTATTCATCACCGGGCCTACAGAACATTATAAGGGAGGGCAGAGTAGAAAAAGTAAAACAGCCAATAAAAGTTAGTATGGGACAGAGGATAGAGGGGTGTTTAGAGGTAAGGGGTTAGATTGTAGTTCCGTCAGGGGCTTAGGGAGAGGGAGGAGGAGGAGGAAGGTGTTTGGCGTTTAGCTGTCCCTGTGTTTCATCACTGTAACTCGACGTGGCTGGTGTGAACACCTATGCTGGGTTTGTCTTTGCCCATGGAAGCCTTACCGCCTGTACAAACGTTTAATGCAAGCACAAGGCGGGGTTGGCTAACCGTATGGCCACTGCCTCTGCTATCGCAAGGATTAGCTGACGCAGGAACTTGGAGTGTCTCGTCGACACTTTATATATCCCCACTGAACAGTATTATTCCTCAGCTAGTCAGGATCTCAACGACAACAGGAACATTGAAGAAGTCGAGTTCGGCGAAGGTGTAATTTCGATTATTCCTCCTCAGGCCTGTATATTAATATAAGTTATGATGAAACAGCACTCCGGACCAAGTTGAACCCAGACTGTATGTGCCCGAGACCTACCACGTCGCGCTGCTGAGGCGAAGAATGAACATGGTTCGCCGTCAGCCTCCTCCTCCTCCTCCTCCTCCTCCTCCTCCTCCTCCTCCTCCATCATAAGCCCCTGACATAACTGACTTCTGTGCACGCCCTGTACTCTCTCTCTCTCTCTCTCTCTCTCTCTCTCTCTCTCCCTCTCTCTCTCTCTCTCTCTCTCTCTCCATAACTACTGCCCATTGACCGCCTGAACTTTCGCAGCCTCACCCAAAATTATATTACTGAACAAGCGTGAAGATGAAAAATCGAAAACATACGCCCGCCGAACTTGACTTCTTCAATGTCTTCATGGGTGTCATCGCAGAAATTAAACAACGGGAGTGTTTTGTATAAATCGCCAATGTAACAACGTTTCCCTAACCTCCCGATGGAGTAATCGTGCGGGTTGCTAACTCACGAGACAGAAAACTGTTTGAATGCTGTGTTCGAATCTTATACTCACCGGCCAAATATAGCAGAGGACTATACCAATTTGATCTGACTCAGTAGTGGCCTAAGTGGTTGTAGTACAACCACATATTTTGTGCTTGACGTTCTTGAGACCTTGGATATAGAACTTGTTCCAAGTCTAATCTGATGAGACAGAAAAGAGACTTGACGTAATTAGAAAGGAAGGAATTCTTCTCTAAACTCGTAGGACAAAATAGTAAAACCTTGTACATATAAAAATACACGTTGCGTCGCTTGGTAAGCCAAACGATGAAGAAAGAAGAAAATAAGGAGTGAGTGAGAACGGTGCACGGCTACTGTTCGTTAATTTACGTCATTTGAAAGACACTTGGTTGTGTTATTTGCGTTACGATTCCATACATCAGAAGGGTGAGTGAGGGCAGTTCACCCATGAAGTCTACAGTGATTTGGGGACCCCATTGAATGGACGACTATGTACGCCCGGCATCTTTGGAAGCGTCCGTCGTTATTGAGTAAACGTCAGAAGCCATGGATGACGGAGAATCTCATTGGTTGGCAGTCGCTGGAATCGATTAACGACCAAAAGCGAGGAAACCATCTCCTTCGCTGCTGCAGAAGAAGATAAATACAGGCTAGGAATGCGTGTTAGGAACTTGCAGGCAAACGCTGATGCAGCAGAATGGGCTCCGAGGAAAATAATATAGCTACAAACACGTGCTACTTAAAAACATCCGTAACTACCAAAAATAATTTTACTGCAAATGTTGGAAATGCGTAAAGGTGCGTCATCGGATTGAACCAGATTGCCCGCCGCCCAAAATCGTATCAAGTGCGCTACCTCTGGAGTCAAACGTTCACAGTTCGTTCTGCAGATAGGTTGGGATGGTGAACAAAACTCAAATGCGAGGGCTTTGCTATTTCAAAGTGGGCAAACTACATGAAAATAGTCAAAAGGCAGACCGCTGAAGACAGCCTGACAAGAATATTACGCAGTCATAGTTGTACCAGACACAGCCCTGAGGCCGCACCTCAAATGGAGAAAGTGTAACGCATAAATTCTTCGCCCTGCCCTATACGTCGGGAATCTCGGTAGTGACCACCCTGACGGCTAAATCGGTTTGGTATCCACACTGAGCACAAGCCAGCGTCCTCACTGCGCGCAACATTTTCTCAGGTAAGAGACCCTGTCCTTAAAGAAGAGAAGCAAAAAAATGCGATCTGCCACATCCCGTGTGCTAATTGCCCCTGCATGTATGTTGGTCATACGGGCCGACGCCTGGGAACTCGTGCTAATGAGCACAAACTAGCCGTCCGTCGCCGTGACCCCCCTGTCCCTTGTCTTTGCGCACGCACAGGAGTGCGACCACCGATTCGATTAGGATGACGCTGAGGTCGTCGTCGCGACCAATACAAAGCGGCGAGAGTAGTCCTAGAGGCACAGCACTACAAAGCAGCCGGTATCAAGCGCCATGCTGATCTAGACGCCCATTATGAGGGGCTTCGAACACGGCTCACTGCGCCCTGCCTCATGTTGCAACGGCGACCACTAATCCAGTCGCCCAGATCCATCAATTTACCATCCCCCTTCCCACTCCAACGCAGGAAGTCGTAAGTCTTCTCCCCTCTTTTGCCCCCGTCTCAGAACCTACCGTGACCCTGCGTCCCCTTCACCGCTCTCGCACAATAATTACCCGCCTGTCAATGTCTGTACTGTCGCGCCAACTAGTCTGGTGAGATAGTCTCACTTCCTCTTTTGTCTTCATTTCGTCTGACGACAGGTTAGTATAACCAACTTAAAAATTCAGGAGCGCAACTCGATTTTTCCGAAGAAAGTCTTCATTTTCTCATTACATTGGCTCGGAATGCATATCAGTTCTGGTCCATATATAATGGTAAAGCGGCGCCCACCGATCGTTTCTACGGAACTCACTCGTTTTGTTTTGTCTTACGAGTTCTCTCTCGAGCCCAATCAGCAGCTGCTGTTGACGGCTAATAAGCCAGAAATGGCCATCCCAGTCTCCCTTGTCTTCGTCGGTAATAACATTCTGCATATATATGGTTGAAGTGAAAGGCGTTCATTGGGAGAAGGAACTTTATTGCGTAAATTTTCGACGCCGGTTCCCCAGATCGTCGTCAGACGCAGACTGAGAGTAAATGTGCCGCCAACAGTTAGCATATGACATATGCACTTGAAAAATCGATAATTGTTGACGTTTTCACCCGTGAGCGACCGCTATCTGTGTCCTTCTTACCCGATTGGCTCTCGTCTCTTCCATTTATCCTTGAGACTTGTAAACAGCGTGCAACTCGATATGCAGGTTGATGCACGGCTCATCCGAGTGCATGGCCTCGAGGAACTCTCGACCTTCCTTGAAAGGCAGGCACCGACAATCCGTGTTCCGTTCCAAGCAAACGTGTGGCCCCTGTTCAGGGTACGCATGGCTACTTGGGACAGAACACGGACTTAACTGTTTCCGGCCAAGGGGAACGCCGGACTACGGCCACCTTGACAGCCAACGCGGTCAATTTAGTGTTATAACGATGCTACTACCAACATTTAAGTAATATATGTTTATGCTATTTATTAAGCTTGGGCCACGTCGCACACCGCTGTTCACATTCACCACGATGCCTGTAGACTAAACAATTTTACTTCTTTTTCCGTGTCTTAAGTGTGCCTCAACTGTACGCTGTATTTTGACCAACAAAGCAAGTTAATGTGCTTCTAAACTCTGTTAACGCATGACATTCTGTGTTTATCTGTACAGTTTTTGCTATTCCCCTCGCATTTCTTTCATGTTACTTCCTTTCCATTTCCTCCATATATATCGTCTGCATGTAACCAATAGGGATTTCAAAGGTACACACCTACTTTCCCTGAAATATACTGATACTGATACTGAATCCTAAGAGCGGATAAAGCAGTCTACATGTCGAGTTGCCACCATTTACGGCGGGTTTGACTTCATTAAGACAGATAATGTTTGTGCGTCCGAATTTGCAACTGTCGATAGGTCTTTCTAAGATAGCTGTCTTCTCCAGAGCTAAATTGAAGCTGGCACATAACGGCTGAATTCTCCTGGCTGGGTATGGATTCTGTCGACCGCACCAACCGCGGAAACTCCCATTACACGTGTCGTTGACTTGGAGACACCTGTCCCTTTACGGACTGCTGCACAATAATCTGATCTTGCGCGACTTTGAATTCCAGCCCCTTCGGGTCATTCGAGGATTTAAGTTGGCTTTCAAGAGGTCCCGTTTGACGACTGGTGCACCATAGAGAATTTTCATCCGTCGGTATAACTTGTAAAAGGGGTTCAACTAGATCCATTCTTGTAGGCATTGCAATCCTGCCTAAGGGTTCATTTCTACTCTAAAATCCATCTTCTAGTGCAAGAATTCAAGTGCATGAGCGAATAATTTCTCACCTTTGCTAACACAGTCCCAATGAGGGCTGTGAAATTCAAAGTTGCCCTTCTTAATGAGATCGAAGAGATCTGCCTGACTCTTTGTTGGACTTCGAAATGGTGGGTAGCCACAAAGTAGTATGTACAAAATGACTCCGAGCGACCAGACGTCCACTTCGAGCCCGTAACCTGAAAGCCAGCGGAACAGGGAATGGGGTTAATTTCTGGAGTAATTTTAATCTAATTTTACTAACACATCGCTAATGATCAGCAAAAGTGAGAATACAAAGAAGATTCCGGATGAACATACCGATTCCAAGTAACATTTCCGGCGCAATATAAGTTGGTGTTCCACAAGTTGTACGCAGAGGTCTCGTCACCTCTGTTGCTAAGCCAAAATCGGCCAGTTTGAGGTGACAGTCTCCCGACGCGTTTTTTGTAACCTGAAAATACATGGTACTTATTAAATTCGAGTAGATTGTATGGTTAGGACAAACTGAAAGTGTCATGAAGTAAACAATACACATTCACGTGGTCTTGTCAGAATCCATGATCTATGAGGTCGCACCGCCACCGTTGCTGAACCGAAATCACCCAACTCGGACGGAAATTCCCCTAGGAAATCTCTAAACGCTAATAAATGTAGAAGTGGTTTACGGTTGCTAGGGCCCTCTTTGACGGGACAGTGATGCTAAATGCTCACGGGCGTATGACAGGACTCTGAATGAGTAATACAAAGGAAGGTTCATGTTGGACTAAAGGTCTTACAAGTAAATTCTCCGGTTTCAGATCCCTGTGGACGATGTTGCGCGAGTGTAGATACAACAGGGCCTTGGCTATGTCAGTTACCATGACCGACGATTCTCTCTCTGGGAATCGCCGACGTTTGCTGATCAGTTCGAAAAGGTCTCCACCCTGAAATAAAGACAAAACTTACTTAAAGATGAAAAAGTATTGAGGGATAAACAGCGTTACTTTGAGTACCATCAAAAGGGCTCTGCCTGCATTCCGTAGTAGATTTTGGCTGATCTCAATTAACAGATTAGCTGTGAACAATGATATCAGTCTGTCATCACTAAAAGTGGAGTTCTTCATTAAAAACCGTACATTTTCTGACTACTGAAACGCAAGAAGGACAGATTCTAGGACCAGAACCCACGGGGGTCTGCTAATATCCGCGCCAGAAAGAAAGGTGCTTTTTAAACACAGTCTCCATTTCCAGAGAACTGACGGGTGTTTGCAA